GAGGCAGAGCTGCTCGCTGAACAGGTCCGTGCGACTGGCAGCCCACTGCGCCAGCTTGACAAACGACGGCCCAGCACCCGATATCTGCGCACGCAGAAAGCGGTACCACCATATAGAACCCCAGGTGGTGCCACTCTCTGGGTATGTGCGGCCCATATAGACCATCGGGTAGCTGAGCACTAGCGGAGCAAAGCGCAGGAAAAGCTCACCGGCACGCAGCGCCGTGAGCAGCGCCTCCCACAGACTGCGCAGTGCACTGAAAATGCGGGATGGCCGATTGGTGGCCGCCTCGTGCGCAGTAGCAGCACTCAAAGCTGGTGCGTCGGGCTGCGAATCAAGGGCAGACAGCGGAGTGTTCTCGTCCTTTGACTGCTGGCTGGTGACAAGCAGCGACGCCAGAGCTGCGGTTCCACCAAGTCCGCCCGTCAGAGTCAGCACTCGGAGCACTCTGCTGGCACCACCCTGTTGTTGATGGTGTTGGCCAGCCGCGCTATGAAGCGCTCGAGTGAATGTGCTGGCGAGGCGTTGTTGCCGGTGCTGCTGCTGTTGTAGGACATTGCAATACGTGTATCTGAGTGCACTGCTGAACGTCGTGGTGCGGCAACCGGCGGCGTGTTGTGTGGGAACGCCTCGCAGCAAAACGAGGCTGCGACAGCGTAGCATTAAGAGCCAAGGCAAACACGGGTTGACAGGGAGCTGCTGCTAGATGTTTCGAATAAAGTGCAAGGGTATATAGTGCAATAAAAAATAGAATAAGGTAAAAGAGAAATGCGAGGCCAGGTAAGGGATTTGGAATATCGAGAGAAATAAGATGCCTCTTTTTATACTCCATACTACTCTTCAACTACAGAAGAGACCAAGGCGCCGTTTATCAACTCCAGCATCAGTCAGCTAGCGCTGGTGACGTCTAGCGCTTTTCATTTTGCCACATGCCAGCAGCAGGCATCGCCGCCATTGTGTAATCAATAGTCATAGGCTCTGGACTGGCTGGATCAGTGCTGTTAATCCCGTCTGTGCTGTTTCACTCTTGATCAATCAAGATCGACTTTTTTTCCACGAGGAAAAAAAAGCCAGCCAAAATTTTTTTGGCCATGCTGATTACAGCCAGGCAGCAGCGATATGATATACCCTTTCTCCATTGCTTCGACCACATCAAAAGTCTTTCTCTCTTTCCTTGTTCGCCCCATACACATATATTACCAGCCTTTATATATTTTCCTTGTAGTTATAGATAACAATGGCGGCAGCTACTAGACATACAGCGCCGGACTACCTCTCTAGAACACAACCACAGCAGCTCTACACAACGTCGATGCCCAGCACACAGCCAAGCAGCGGCAGCTCCTCGCCCGCCTCAACCTCGGTCGACTGTCCTGATTGCAGTAGCGGGACAGCAACCAACTTGGTGCACGACTTTGCATCGGACGACCTGGTCTGCGGCACTTGCCGTATGACCATTGGATCGCAGATTCTTGGCGCCAGCCTGCTCATATCCGCGGCCAACCTTGCACACCAAAATACATCACGCGATGGCAGCCGCTCTGTATCTAGCAGCTGCTCGCCAGAGAGCACGCCGGATGCTGTGCGCAAACGGCCACCTCTTCGGGCTGCCCCAGCGTCGTCGCTGTCGTCGTCATCGTGTAGTCGAGCAGTGGTGCAGAGGCAGGAACGCAACATCACTCGGGCGTTTGCGTCGATCTCCTCACTTTGCTCGACCATGGACCTGCCTTCCTCCGTGTCCATGGCGGCGTGCCAGCTCTACAGGCGCGTGGAGGAGAGCAGCCTGCACCGCGGCAAGAACATCGATGCCATCGCAGCTACCTGCATATTCCTAGTGTGTCGGCAGCAAGGCGTGCCACGGACATTCAAGGAGATCTGTGCGCTGACACATGTGTCGCGCAAGGATATTGGACGGACATTCAAATATTTGAAGGACAAGCTGGGGGCCGATGCGCCGGCAGGGTCGGCAGTGTCGTCGGATGATCTGATGGGGCGGTTCTGTGCCAACCTGAGTCTGCTGAGCACGGCGCAGGAGTGTGCGGTTATGCTCAACCGCGAGGCAAAGCGGCGGGACACGCTGGCGGGCAAGTCGCCGGTGTCGGTGGCGGGCGCGTGCATCTACATGGCGTCGCACCTGGTCGGACAGCCCAGGGAGGCGCGGGTGATCTCGCATGTGGCGGGTGTCAGCGAAGTCACGATCAAAAACTCGTACAAGCTCCTGTACAAGGACCGCCAGCACTTGGTGCTCGGGCAGATGCTCGAGGCCGATCCGCTGGCGTCCCTGGACAACCTGCCCGTGCCATAGAGCAAGAGAACAGCCCCTCTGGCATCGAGCAGCAGACAAATCTGATCCGCAAGATGTGATCACCGCGGCTGATCGCGGGAACGGAGAGCAGAGAGCAGCCAGTCAGTCAGCTTTCTGAAGGCGAAGCGCATTTATAAGCAAATTCCATGGGATTCTTGCTTTGCCCCTGGGCCTTTACATTGTAGCGCGCTTTCTTCTTTCCGTATCCCCCTCTCACATTTTCTTGTCGTCCTTCTGCTTTGCTATAAAGGCCTGTCCTACCACTGGCCTTTGTTGGTTCTATGCGTTTCTCTCTTGCGTTGCATTTTGTACAAAAGTAATATTAAAATAAAAGCCACATACATTCGACCTCCAATCGCCCAGCGCATCCAAGCAAGCAAGCTAGAAAGCTAGAAAACTAGAAAGCAAAGTGCACTACCGCTATATTCCTGTTAAATTTAATGTCTAGACCGCAGCCCTCCAGCAAAGACGCCTTTAGGCTCCCGGGGCCAGAGAACAAATGGGGAGTGGTGCTAATTTGCCCGCACTGCCGCACGCCGATTCCGCACATTATCGAGGACTTTGCGTCGGGCGACTATGTGTGCGGCGACTGCGGGCTGGTGCTGGGCGACCGCATCATCGACACGCGGTCCGAGTGGCGGACGTTTGCCAACGACGAGGGCGACGATCCGTCGCGTGTCGGTAACGCGGCAAATCCGTTTCTGGACGGAGACCAGCTGGACACGGTGATCTCGCGTGGCGATGGCGGGTCCGGGCTGGCGCGCGACCTGAGCCGCACGCAGGGGCGCACAACGGCGCAGCGGCACGAGCGCAACCTCGTGCAGGCGTACAAGGACATCTCGGCGTTCTGCGAGGCATACAACATGCCGCGCACAACGGTGGACATTGCAAAGCAGATATACAAGAAGGTCGAGGACGACAACCTGCACAAGGGCAAGAGCAACGACGCGGTGATTGCCGCGTGCATATTCATTGCGTGTCGGCAGGACAAGGCGCCGCGGACGTTCAAGGAGATCTGTGCGCTGACAAAGGTAGATCGCAAGGATATTGGGCGCACGTTCAAGTTTTTGAAGGACAAGCTGGGCGCGTACTCGGGCACGACGTCATCCAACGACCTGATCGACCGCTTCTGCTCCAACCTGAGCCTGGATCAAGAGACGCGGCGGATCACCAAGCTGCTGACGGAGACGGCCAAGGATATGGAGAACATCTCGGGCAAGTCGCCGGTGTCGATCGCCAGCGCCTGCATCTACATGGCGTCGCACCTGACCGGCAACCCGCGCGAGGCCAAGAACATCTCGGAGATTGCGGGGGTCGGCGAGGCGACCATCAAGACCACGTACAAGATCCTGTATGCCAACCGCGCCAAGCTGCTCACCAAGGACGTGCTGCGCGAGGGCTCCACGGCCAAGGAGGCCAACCTGGCCGCGCCCTAGAAAGGCAGGGCGCGAGCACCGGCGGGCTGCACGAAACCGGCTTGCGACGTGCGGCGTGCGGCGTGCGGCGTGCTCCTGGCTGGCTGGCTGGCTGGCTGGCTGTCGTGCCCTGCCGTGCCCTGCCCTGGCCTGGCACGATGTAAAGGCCAAGAAAAACCCGTCCCCCTTTCCATCGCGCTGCAGATCTCTTTTGTTTACCCCCACCGCTTTCCCAATGTATGAGACTATTTCCTGGCACATGCCGACGCCCAAGCGGCCCGATGAAAATTTTCGCTCCGTAGCGCCCCTTCTTGTTCCTGTCCTTGTTGCTCCTATTGTCGCTCTTCCCCGCTAATTACTCTTTTTTAATTCCCCTCCACCTTTTCCTGCTCGAAAATGGCAAAGCTGAATTACGCCGACGTGTTCTGGTTCGTGCCCAATCTCATTGGCTACAGCCGCGTGCTGCTCACGGTGCTGGCCGTGTACTTTATGTACTACGAGTACCCGGCGCTCATGTTCCTCTCGTACGCCCTGTCGGAGCTGCTCGACGCCGCCGACGGCTACTACGCGCGGAAGCTGGGCCAGTGCAGCAAGTTTGGCGAGGTGCTCGACATGGTGACCGACCGCTGCACCACCACCGTGCTGCTGACCTACCTGGCCAGCATCTACCCCACATACCTGGCCCCCGTCTTCTGCTTCCTAATCTCGCTGGATATCTCGTCGCACTACATGCAAATGTACAGCCAGCTGATCACCGGCAAAACCAACCACAAGCAGATGGACGCCAACGCCCACTGGATCCTCAAGGCCTACTACACCGACCGCCGCGTGCTCTTTGCCTTTTGCTTCGGCAACGAGGCCTTCTTCCTGCTCATGTACCTCAACAAGTACGTCTCTGGCTACTGGCTCACCGTATCCGCCGTCTTCACCGTCGCCGCCTTCCCCATCTTTGTCATCAAGAACGTCATCAACGTCATCCAGCTCTACGAGTCCGCAAAGGACCTCGCCAAGCTCGATGCCGCCGCCCTCAACGCCGCCGCCGCCGACAAGCCCGCTTCCGCCAAATCCGCCCGGTCCGCAAAGAAGGCCCTGTAAACAACCCTCCACTTCGCCCGCGACCCACCCCACCACTGTTTTCCTCCATCAATTGGTATAACAAAAATACACAACATACACACACTGTAAACATACATACACCATCAAGCAAATAAGAAACACTGCCTCTTGCCGACATTGGGTTTGATTTGGACCAATCGGTCCCAAAGAAAAACTGCAAAAAATGGAGGACCGGGGTATCGATCCCCGTGCCTCACGCATGCGAAGCGCGCGCTCTACCATTTGAGCTAGACCCCCTATTAAACACATTTTGGCTGTATTTTAAGCCAATTTGGAATTTCTGGTTACATAATTTTAAGGTTGTATATCAATTAAAATCAACCTACGGGTACCGCTGATTCAAATCCCACAACTAAACAATGCCGAGATTAGCAAGACGCATTGAGAAACATAGAGAAACAAGAAAAGCAATGACAACGAGGACGCTGATAGGATACCCGTTGCACATATCTATGCTTATACCACGAGAATGCTATATCCGCTCAAATACTATTACACTCACCCAACCGAGGTAAAGGTAGACAAAGCTACTAACCGGTCCTCTCTTTTTCTTTTTTTTTTTTGTCAGCGAGTATCAGCTATAAAATAAAATAAAGCCCAAGCAATAAAAAGAATAAGACTATTACTTTAGTTTTTAATGCATGTGTGCAACTTCGTATACATAAAATACTATAATATATATGCGTGTGTGTGTGGTTTAATGATATTGTTGTATTGGTATTCTTTCCGCATAAGGTATTACCTCTAGCCCTATTAGTCAGTAGTTTAATTATTTATAAAGTGCAAATTATGCGATAATAACACGCCTAACTTGTATTCAAAAGTTAGAAAAAAAAAGCAAATAAAACATTATATGAAATATATTAGCCGAAATAAATGACCAGCATATGTTAAAAAAATTATATGGCTAACATATGTAAGCGTTTCTGTGGTTTCAAGAAAGCCAGCTGAGATGTTCAATGGCTGGGTCGTTTCTGATGCACTTCTCTCCGCCTTTATAGTAGAAGCAGCACTCGTTATAGTGGCCACGACCCTGGTACAGTATGTTTTCAAACGTGTATCTGCATAGATACATGTCGCTCTTGCCCCAGATTTCAAAGTTGTCTTGCATAACCGAGCTGGATGGAGGAATCCAGGTGGGTGTGTTGGTGCAGTGCAAGAACTCACAGCTGCTCTGGGGGTAAATGTGTCCGACATTGCTGTAGGGGATCAAGCAGTGGGTGCCGTTAAAGTTTCCGGTGGAGGGCAGGTTGTCACGCGAGATTGCGCGGCAGACATTGTTGCTGTTCACAGTTACCGCCTTGGTGCTATCAATGACGCTCGAGTAGTAGCACTCGTTTACATTAGCAGCGGGGGTATAGCCGGTGGGTACTTCAACCTTTAGTGATGCACCGTTGCTGTCCATGCTTGTAAGAGTAATTCTAATTTGGCGGTAGCCGTCATAGAAGGAGGTATTATAGGTGGTGTCTTCCGAGGAGAGGGCATTAAAGAAGCGAGTGACTGAAGATGCCTTTGCTTTGTGGTCGGGAGCCGTGCGGATAACCACATAGTTGTACACCTTGCCCTCCACTGTATTGGCACGACGCGGGACGAATTCAACGTAGTAATGAGTGTGATAAGTCACGCCTTTAGAGACAGAGTCGTTCTCGATACGCATAGGCGGGTTAAGAGGAATTCTCAGCACTGCTGCTTTGTCACCAATTGATGCGGTCTCGCTATTGTACAGCTTGTAGGTGCCACTGCCGGTGATGTCAAGCACATTGGACTCCTTCAAAAAAGGCCACGGCGATGACAGGCGGTTATAGGCGCTGTATTCCAAAGAACCCTTGGTACCAACAGCGATATTGGTGACGCCGTCAGATTTGTACCAGGACGAGTCGTGGGGAATAAGACCCATGTTTTGGAAACGGTCACCATCAATTGACGTGCAGTTGTTGCTCATCGTTACCTGGCCACTCTTTGAGTAGCAGGCACATGCAAACGGATGCGGGAATGTAAAGCCGTGGCCCAGCTCGTGGAACAGCACGTGTGGGTTGAGCGCATCAAGCGTCCACACCATAGTGACTTCACCGCTGTTATCCGAATAACCCGAGCATGTGGGTTTCCTGGTATTCATCACAATAATGGACCTAGTGGGCTTGTTGGGCGCGAGAGTCTGGTAGACTGCATTGACAATTTGGCCACGATCGCAAGAGTCGATGCCCTGGTCAATATACTTGATAGTGACGTTGGTATCATTTCCAAGACCCTTGAATTTGACTCTGCCTGACGAGTACTCGTTGAATCTGTTTTGCAGATCATATCCGCTGGGCAAGAAGATGGAGTTGGCCAGTGTGGTTGCTTGAGCAGCCGACAAAACCGGTGCAGACGATTTCTCTGGGATAAATGCAATCACTGTGTCAAACGTGACACTTGGAAGCAGCGACTGGACAGGCTTGGCAACAGTCCACGAACTAGCCGTGGCTGCAAAAAGCCCTACAGTAATAGGAAGGGTAAGTATAGTGAAGCGCATAAAAAAAGTAAAGAAATGATATAATGGGGTGTGTTGAATTAGCGTGAAAATAAGTGGAAAAATAAGAGAGAGAAAATGTACGAAACCATGTACATTTTTTTCAGTATATTTGCGCCCAAATGTATCGCTTTTTATATTGGCGTGCTCGCTTTCCCCCCTCTTTTCCCCCTTTCTTTTCGTTCATTATATCTCTTTTGTTAAATCGCTCGCTCTTTTTTGTAGCAGCTGTGGTCATTCGACCTATTTGCTTTATGACCTCACTGTTCTAGATAGGAACGTCGTGTGGCCCAAAAAATACAAAAAGCACACAATCAACACAAAGACGTTCAAAGCAAAAGAAGCGACATGAAAACAAGTGTACAAAGTATGCCAAGGCAAATATCAAACCATTGGCGCTAAGCCAAACCAGTCTATCGGTTTGAATTATTATTTTTGGGGCTCAACTTATGCAGATACCCAGCTTTGGCGTACGACCTGCCGCATCGGATTTGCCAAGCTCACAAAGAAGTACACAGGTTGGCAAGCCGATCACTCCTTCTATCAGTGTATTCGATTTTTCCATCACAATCTCTACCACATGGCTGCAATCGGGTTTATAAACGACGATATGTGTATTAAGAAATCAGACCGGCTTTTATTAAAGCGAAACTTTTGGGTTTACAAAAAAGGTTGCATATCAGTAAATAAAAACAACAAGTAGCATGGCATGCTGCAGATCTAGCCACTGACCGCTGTCTGTTTATTTTGCGGATTGCTGGTCAATCACAACATCTCTAGAGTATATACGTATATGTGTGTGTATATGTGCATGTATACTTTTCCACTTTAGTGGCAATTTCACAGATAGACTTGTTTTTTCTTCTTCCTTTAAAGTATTTGCAAACGTGGGGCATATTGTAGCAAACAGAATAAATATTTGTCTAGCAGAGCCAATTGGTGAGTGGTGTGGAGATATGCTACATGGTTTATACATTATTGAGTTCTATTCATTCAGTCAAGCAGGCTTTGTAAATAATGATGCCAATGAGGTGATAAAGTACCGGCATACATGCAAATAAAGTGTTTTCTTTGCTAAAACTTGTATAATACGTATTTATAGCGGCTCCTATTGGCAAAAATAAAAAACAAAAGTCCGCAACGGAAAGTGATTAGCGGCCGCCTTTTCATTTATTATCAGGCTTCAACAAAATTATACACAAAATGAAGTATTTGACGGTTTATTGCTAAAAAAAAACACTGTTAGGGCCAACTTTTAATAAATGAAAATGTGTTGTTTTTAAACCCACGCTCAAAATGGTTTTGACAATCCTAGGCCAGCAAACTGTTGGTGTACAAACGAGTACTCTTTTCACCTGCTATGTAGTTTTATTTGAATGTAACCAGCTTCAACAAGTTTATATACTGCTGCCAATTTTTATGAACGAGACAATTCAAAGCCGTTCAAAAGGGTATATAAGGCAGAAACCTAACGTTGTGGTATATAAAAGTAGCATGAGCTATTCGTGGCAACGCTAACTTGTATGTACTGGCAAAGAAATGATGACAATGAACGAGAAGAAAAAACAAGAAAAAAATTGAAAAAGCAAAATGGATAAACACCTTCCAACCTCCTTTTCAGGTTACACAGTCGTTTTGCCATTTTTTTGTGTGGTAGAAGCCAAAAAAAAATCACGAGTGGAAAATGGTAGCGCTAAACTTGGCTTTCCATGGGTAGCCAGCCATACATTTCTAGCCCAGCTCTTTCTTCTTTCTTGCACTTTCTTGCATTTTCTTGTTCTTTCTTCTTTTTTCTTGCACTTGGATGCTTTGTTTCTTTTAAAAAAATTGTTTTTCTTCTTCTTTTTTTCTTTTTCTTCAAAGACAAAGCTTTGAAGCAAGATTAAAAAGGGCGCCAAGATGTGTGTCTGTCACATAACCAATCGTTTATACAATTAATCGCTGGATATATATAAAGAAGGCAAAGGAGGTCTTGCACTCCTTTATACTAACTATTTATTTACTCGGTGCTGTGGCTTTGTGCATTATTTAAATATTTTTGCAAAAATTTTTTCATGAATAGAGTACCAAAAAATAATGAAGCTTGGAATAAGTAGAGATGGGTGCAGAATTGGTGGTGGATTTTTCTACCCCAACTCTGTTTGAGTTCGACTATAAAAGCCAACCTCCCGGCCGCACGAAAACAAATATTTTTCTCATCATCATCAACAACATTACTCGCATACTTTCTCTTAGCTTGTTTTCACAACCACTTTCACAGCTCTTTGCATTTAAGCTTATATTATCAATGTAGGAATGGATAGAAAAGTTAACTCTCCCAACAGGTCTAGATCAAAATCTGCATCAAACTTTGCTCAAAAACCTACTCAAAAACCTACTTCAGGCAATCAAGCAAGGTCCAGGTCTAACTCATTATTTTCAAAGGGTACGAACTCATTATTTTCAAAGGGTACGTAATGTCATAATATTGATTTGACACACTTGTATCTGCCATGTTTGTGTTTGTAAATGCAAATGAATTTTTTCTTTGGATAAATGATCATTTATTATTATTACTAACACCCCTATTTACAACATTATCTGCATAATTATAAACTACAATTGGATTGGTAGACAATGGTAAGGATGTTACTAAATTGGAAATACTAGGTATGGCCTACCAGGGCGTGTCAAATAAGGGAAATTCTGGTTTACGAGCACAACCAAAACTTAAGAAAACTAAATGTGC